TCTCTCTCTCTCTCTCTCTCTCTCTCTCTCTCTCTCTCTCTCTCTCTCTCTCTCTCTCTCTCTGTGTCTCTCTCTCTCTCTCTCTCTCTCTCTCTCTCTCTCTCTCTCTCTCTCTCTCTCTCTCTCTCTCTCTCTCTCTCTCTCTCTCTCTCTCTCTCTCTCTCTCTCTCTCTCTGCAGAATGTAGTCGTTTCGTTCGTCTTTGTGTTCCGTTTCTTCGTATCCCACGTACCCGTGCCCGTTGTCCGCCGTGTCTGGAGAGTATGGGCTCCTTTCCGTACTCAACAGCAGTATGATTCCAAGGTCACGGTGTTTGTTGACTTGCTTTAGGGGTGTGTCGTTAAGAGAGTTTTATTTTTATTTTTTACTAGAGCCACGTAAACCCGTCAGTGAGACCTAGTTGGTGGTTTGGTGTGAAGGACAAGGTAACAGTCTGTTTGGCATTGGCGAGGAGGTTGCATCTCTGCAGCCAGGCTGCGGCAGCTGAAACGGCTGACTATGGGGATGTACGTGATGACATGCGATTGCTGGCTATGGCGATTTGCGCCGTGTCATCTGCAAATTGGCTGAACTTTGTGTTCGAGTTGGTGCAGGCAGAGAGCAGGTCAATGGTATAGACCAAGAGCAGCAGGGGGCCTAGAACGGATCCTTGGGGCACCCCTGCTGGTATGGCTTGCCACTCACTTGAAGACGTCCGCGACACGAACCATCCATTGCAAGGTGGTATCCTTCAGGCCGAGGTGGTTGTATTTCATCATTTTCGGTTGCAAATATGGCATCTGGTGTCTTCTTTATCTTCGTTTCTTTTCCTGACTTCTTTAGTCAGTTTTGCGTCTCACCAGGGTAGTTGGCCACAGCCAGATGTGAACTGGATAACGAGTGAGGTATGGGAGCAAGGACTGAGAACAAAGTGTCTCAGATGGAATAGGTGTGCCAGCAGATAGCAGAAATAGGTCATGATGCGGAACCACTTGGGACCGTCAGATTTATTATTCCTGGACCGAGCCAGCCGGGAAAAAAACGCTCGCGCCGATGGATGCAGTAGTGAGGGAAAAAGCCGGGTGTATATCTCCAATAGCGATTTGGCATCATGTAGGCATAACAAGCACTTCACGTCAAAAATCTATAAAAAAACGAACAATAATAATATGCACAGAAATGAAGGGTGGGAGGGCAGGTATACTGGTGAGACTCAAAACTGACTGAAGTAGTCAGGAAAAGAAACAACGATAAAGAACACACCAGATGCCAATGTTGCGGGTGAAATCATTTCTCGCCTATCTTGCTGCGTCCGGCCAGCAAGAAATACAACTTCTTCCTCCACATATACTGGCACACACAGAGACATAGACAGCAATAGCGACGATACACAAAGTGAAGGGTAGTTGGCCGCAGCCAGATGTGACTCAGAAAAAGCATAGCACGGCGACAACGAGAAAGAAGGCAGAGAGATGCAAGAAAGACAAGAAAACTGACAGAACAGAGGACAAAAGTGCGTACGCTATGACCTACACAAAATTGCTCATAGTACAAGGAGCTAACACCCTGATCTGGTGCAATTTGTCCCAGTTCAAGGATGAAGAACAACCCACCAAATTGAGTGTGAGAGCATGTAGGATGTCCATAGTAGTTCAGGTGTCAGGAACTGGTCAACCAGGACTTGTCCATATCTGAAGATAGTGGCTGCTTCTGTGAAGGGGCGCATTGTGAGAAGGTAAACTTGAGCCATGACCACTGAACTGGTGACCAGGGAGAAGCGGGATTTTGTGGGTGCCAAGCAGCACTCAAGGCAGACACAAAGGGTGACACTGTTGTCTGCAATAGGTGCACCACATGAAGAGCCAGGTACGCGGGCCGCACCACATGAAGAGCCAGGTCCGCTGGCCGCACTGGAACGAGAGAGCTTGGAAGTTCAGGGACCTGCGCTATGCTTTTTTGCCTAGCTCATCATGCATGTTATTAGAGCTGATGGAACTTTCTCTTTGGCCCCAACTTCGTTGCGGTCTTATAGTATTTTACGTCGCCCATGACGGCTACCATGCCCAGCCATACCACAACGAACTGATCGGCTACATCATTGTATTGCAAAATGTTTCCATCTGTTCGACTAACATGCATGATGAGCTAGGCAAAAAAGCAGCTAGCGTAGGGCCTAGGGCCTAGGGCCTAGGTCATCACCACCGTGATACCGGTACAGGGCAGGTACGGGATAGCGCCAGGCATGCCGATGGCACAAACAAACAAACACGAAATTAAAGCAGTGTGGACCCTGGCTAGCGCCAGACGTTACTGAAGTAACATATTTTGCATAGCTACGGGAATAAACCGTTGGTGAGCATGTTGACGCGTTGTTGAGCTGCGTGTGTGCATGTCTTTGTCGGGAGCGCTTTACCCACATACCTGGCCAGCTGCGAATGTCTGGCTTGTCCATCTTGGAAGCGATCCAGTTAGCGTCTGCGGCAGGGCATTGGTATTGCTGCAGCTCTCGCAGTGCTTTTGCTTGCCGCTTGCGGTGTGCGCATAGCGAGTGGTTGGCGTGCGAAATGTTTTACTTTCTATCTTCACTCAAGCGTGTGGCCATTGGCACTTGCTAACTGAGTACTGATCCGTATTCTCCACTATGTCTCATATGCAGAGTAGAGAGATCCCTGCCATGTTTTCTCTGTGTGAGTTTGACTGGAACAAGCCACACCCAAGATGACTTGTTCAGTTTTAGCGGCCGCGAGTCTTCTCGCCGTTCTACTCTGCCTGACACCGGGCGTAGGTAAGTTTCCACTTGCGTTTGTCGGCGTTTACTAGTAGTATTGTCGAGTCCTGAGCATGGCCACGTTGATTGGTTGTTAGGCTGTAGATGCATTGTTATGCGATACGTACAAAAAATGTAGGCACTTTGCTGCTAGCAGTCTGTACTTGGCAAGGACCCCTACTTTTGTTGAGAAATTTCTTCGAGATCATGCTCGAGCAGTTCCACAACTTTTCTCATAGAATAGCGATTGGAAAACAAAAAAATTAATTTTGAAAATTTTACTTTGAGTACGCACAAACTGATCACAGATTTTATTTGGCATAGATGCTAGCCAAGCAGTTTTTGGAAACGCACTGGCAAACGGGTCAAATTCCACAGAGAAAATTGCAAAATTTAACGGTTTTCGGTGATTTGTGTGGAAATTACCCCCTCCTGTACATGTACTGTACACGTGGATTCTACGGAACGTACCAGTATGCATCAATTTGCCACCATGACGTTTTGCTGGGCAAGTCCAATACACACTGTGATACCAGCTCTGCATAATGGGTCATGAGCTTTCTTAGAGCATACTCCTAAAAAATCTACTACATCAAGTGGAATGGGTTGTACCCGCCAAGTATGGGGCAACTTGCCCCGCAAAAAAGGTGACGGCAATCTTCGATGCATACCTCCCATCCGTTGCTAAATTCTCTTCCTGTTTGTGGGTGCGTGATTGTGTTGGTGTCTGTGGGTGCATGTGTCTCTTCAACTTGCCTGCATGAAAAAATAATGGACGTCGCTTCTTGTCCCAGCCGCTCAAGGTGAGTAATTTTTCTACTGTGTAGTTGCACAATTTCTTTTTTTGGACGACAAGGCGAGACCAAAAAAATTAGAGATTCCCAGGCCCTCCCGCACCAAAATCGAGCCAATGCCAATTTTTTTTTTTTTTGAACAGTTCATACATGTACAGTACTGATCGTGTGAGTAGATCTGTGACGTGGAGTCACACAAACCCGAGCTTGTACGACTCCCGGATGTACAGATCAGGGTCATCATTGGCCGAAATATAGAAAAATTGAACGGGTAAACCGCGTACGTACCTGTTGTCTGTAAAAAAATTGAATAAAAATTACCGGAAAATGCTGTAAAAAAAGTTCATGGCATGCACACATACATACACGGGAAAAAAATAAAAAATAAAATTCGCCTGCCCGCACCAATTTCACATGGGTCCTGCCCGGGAATCTCGATTTTATTTTGGTCTCGCCTAACTTTAGTTTCCCTTGTGTGAAGTTCACAATCTTAGGCTTTTGGAAAGCTTGAGCGATGAGAAGTTCTCTAGCATTTAACAGTCAGACGGACAAGAATCCATCTGCAATTCCATTTTTCGAAGAGAAGTACGGCTCATTTGACATGTTGACTATTTGCAGTCTCTTAAATTTGTACTTTCACTTTCACACATTTTGAATGTACCATCAGGGAGGCCTCCAGGTTACGTTTTAGGAGCATAATCATTGCCATCATTAGGGACTCTTGGATCTTTCCCCTACCAAATGGTACCGTTTACACATACAATTGTTTTCAGTTTTTTGGTGTTGTGTTCTAACCATTCGCCATGCCACTGTCAATTGTATTCTGTTTGCCCGTAAAAGAGGCCTTATTTTATTTAAAAAATAAAAATAATAATAATAATTGCCAAAGTTAGACCATGTGGAAACTGCATCCATGTAGTATTACGAGAGAGAAAAGAGGTTTTTAACAAAACATGAAAAAAACCTTGTATAGAACTAGAAATAACACAATACGCGACAACTCTAAATTTGGCACAGGCACCAAACAGAATTTGTACGTGTACATGTGTGCATACAAGTAATTGCAGGCGCTAGCCACGACAGAACTAATAACACTACTTTCTCTCTCGTAATAATAGTTTATGCATGGGTGAACTGTTGTCCCTTTGCAGCGCTCCTCATTTATTAACCTATCCTAACCAGTATGCCTACTTCATTCCTGATCATGGTTATTTTATGACGGAAACGTTGAATTTTTTTCTGAAATGAATTTGTGAAAAGCAGTGATTGAGTGTGAGCCAGTGTTGCTCACAAACCATTTTTTTTACTTATGAAGCTGCATGATGCGTCCTACAAGATTTTGTTTATTGTGCTGTGTTGCTAATTGTGTGCCCATTATTTTGTCTCCATCATACACTCTATGCTCTGCATAACGCAACAAATGCGCACAACGAATGCACACACATTCATATTTGTAGTGCAATGCGCGGTGGGTGAAATACCACTTCCCAACCCTGCCGGCGGCTCTGACACCTGTAAGTACTTATAGTGTATGTGTACTTGTGTGCGTGTGTGTGTGTGTTTGTGTCTGTTTGTGTGTGTGTGTGTGTCTGTCTGTTTGTGTGTGCACGTGTGTGTGTCTGTTTGTGTGTGCACGTGTGTGTGTGTGTACGTGTGTGTGTGTGTGTGTGTGTGTGTGTGTGTGTGCGTGTACGTGTGTGTGAGTGTGTGTGTGTGCGTGTTTGTGTCTGTTTGTGTGTGTGTGTGTGTGTGTTTTTGTGGCATTTTTGTGCTCTACAAGTCGGCAATGCTTGTGATTTGAATTCTTTATTCTCACGATTGCACCATCGCCAAAAAGAGATAAGTTTATGAGAAGGTGAGATGCTGTGAGTGGGTCTGCGGGTTATGCAGTTGGAATGCAATTTACGTCACTTCGAATTTTACAAGTATGGGAAAGGGTGAGCGCTGCAGGAGCAGATTGAGTTAATGATAGCTTGCATACCGTCCTACCGGTAGGACCCAAGAAATCGAGCTGCAAAAGTGCCTTTGGTTGAGAAATATCTAGAAACAATTGTTGAGATTAGATTTTTGTCAGGCAAAGTAATGGCGCAAAATGCAAGGCTATGTCCAGTGTATTGGGTATGCGCAATTTTATCCAGTGTCAAAATGGCCGCACATAATCCTGTCGGTGCGCTAGCAACTCTGTCCAAAGTGAATTTTGACCATTGCACATCAATTGTGGTGAGGTCCTAATGTTTTTATTAGGTTGCCAAGGCAGTGGAATGCATAATTCCATACTCCGTTTCCATGGTTACCATGGGCTGTCACCATGGAATTTCGTAGTATGCCTTGTGCGATCACGTCTAAAATATGCAGACTCCTTCATTAGCCCCTTAGCAACCGTTAAGGGTCAAGTTTTAGGTCAATGTTAGAACAGAGGCCATGCAGCATGTCTGTGTATGATGGTCCTACCGGTAGGTCCTACTGGTAGTACCGAGGTCTATGCAAGCTATTATTAATCAACAGTGTGTAGATTTCTGGTTGAAAAGTAGGCTGGGGGGGGGGGGGCATTACGAATGCGCTAGCAGGGAGGGCATTGTAGTATTCTAGGGACTTGTACAGTGGGGAGTCTTTACAGCTGTCGGTTCTGGTGGGTGGGAGGTGCCAAGAGCGGTTGTGTCAAAGGCTGATAGTAATGCTATGATTTTCTGTCATTTACCAATTGGTACAGGCACTGCAAAGTTGTTTGTTTATCATGAATCAGTGCTAAATCACTGATCGCTAAAGCAAATGAGAGAGGTCTAGATAATAGTGTGTGATGATAGACCAGTTCCAAGAAAGCAAACGATAATAGTTGCATCATATCATCACATTCGATCGTCAGCGATTCACACTGCCCACCGGAGGGCAGACGCACGGACGGCCCACCGAGGGCTAGCCTGCAGCTGCCCACCGTGGGCCGATCACACGAGCGGCCGGTGAGGCCAACAGCCAGCCCACTGAGGGCTAAGTAATCCTGCCCACCGTGGTACGTTAGCATACTACCCACCGAGGGCGGCCGCGCACAAATGGCCAACGCGGCCAGCAACCTGCCCTCTGCGGGCACATGAACACACACACACACTAACACACATTCACACACACGCACACGCACACACTCGCACACACACAAGCTCACACACAACGTTTTTGAAGCACCATACCCAACCCATTAACATGTAACAACTGTAGAGTTACTGGGTACTAGGAAGATGCATAATGTCAATGCCATTCTCCTATGCACTTGAGATCCTGCTTGCAGATCCTATTATTTCAGTTTCCCGGTGTCAACATGTGTGTTCTTGTGTTTAAAAAGGCAATGCGCTGGGTAGTTTGCTGATCGCTCTACCCAATATCAATAGCCTAACCTTATATGACCTGATGATTACAACCATTGCTGGTAGCAACCCTTCTGAAGTTGTCAATCTGAAAAACCAGACGCTGTCATCCACTTATCGTCCTAGCGCTATTCCAGCAGGCCTTGCTGCCACAACACAGGTCATAGTTGCTGTGTTTGCAGTGGGCACCACAACACCTCTGAATATCTACATAAAGGGTGAGTCGGCAGTGAAGGTGTGTTGAAGGTGTGTCTGTGTGTCTGTGTGCGAGGGGTGTGCGGGGAAGTTGTTGTTTAACTTGCAAGATTGGCCTGTCAGAAAATTGCCACTTTTGACAAGGAAACTTTTAAAAGTGAGCTTAGAGAGGGAAAAGGATATGTACATCATGAAATGCATGCACTTCAGTCCTGAGCTTGAGGACTGAAGTGGTTGCATTAAAGTCATGTGATGTCAGGGCTTATACTAGGAATGCAGGATCGACAAATGCGTGGTGCCAGGGCAGGTTTGGTGCATGTGAGCCGCGTGACCCAGCGAGAGCACAGATCATGTACGCCCCGAACGTGTCTTTCAGAAAACAGAACAGAGATGATGGTTATTTCATGGCCGAAACATTGAGAATATTTTCCTGAAATGAATTTGTGAAAACTAGTGATTGAGTGTTAGCCAGTGTAGCTCAAAAACCAAATTTAACCCTTTCACCACTGTCGACGTATATATACGTCATGACGTGTGCACCTGCCCCACTGACGACGTATATATACGTCCTCAGTGTACGTCGCGTTTGTACTGATGCCTCAACATCAGTGGGGCCCGGAACTGTTCCTCAGTGGGCTGAAGGACCTGATCGACGTGTATGCAGCGTATGTCGCCAGTCTGCACAGCAGAACAGCCGCGAGCATCGAGTTTGAAGTGCGTATTTTGGCATACCTTTCAAATAAATTGTTTTGCTCAAAGTTTGTTTTCGTCATCTTGCCCTGCTGTTTCTCGGCAAGGTAAGTAGCTCAACTACTCTGTGTCGATGGAAGCAGTCCTGTGAAGCAGTGTGAGGCGGGTAATGACTCTGAGGATGATTCTGGAGACAGCGAAATTGTGTCGGAGTCGTTTTCTGAGGATTACGAATTTGCTGCTATTCAAAAGATCGCAGCTGACTCGGACGCAGGGGATGCTGGAGACCAAAGAGATTTGGAAAGCGATGCTGAAGTCTCTGACACCTAGGCATGGTGTTCTGAGCAGGAGCTATCTGTCGTGAGCCCGTTTGCTGAAGTCCCTCAAGTAAACTGCGATCAAATTTGAAGGTCAGATTTTTGAAAATATTTGAATTTGAAGTCAAGTGTACTGGTCAGACATGCATGCAGATCACAATAGAGATGTGCATACATGTAAGTATTGTATGTTGAGTACAGAGCCAGGCACCTACAGGATGAAGATTGCTATCAAATATGAATCCAGAATAATCTAGAATAGTCAACAATTGTGCAATTTTGAACCACTATCAGAAGTTGCGCAGCCAATTGTTTCTTGAATTTTCATTTGTACGTACACCGGTACGCAGTATGCACTCGGCTGTTTAGGGAATGCTTCAGACTATTTTGATAGCTGGGCTGTCTTGCCAGTGAGTGTCTAAATCAGAGAATGAGCAGTATTGCGTTCTCCATCAATATGACTTTACCTGTGCCGCGTACGTACGCGTGCGGGCAGTGATGATTCACCCTGGGATGCGCCGAGCACAGTGAGCCAACCGCTGCCACTGCACCGGCTGCTATTATAGCTGATGCAGTTGCTGTGGTTGCTACTCCAGTTACTCGGCATCCTCACTGTCCATCACATGGTTTTGTCTTGAAGTCGGTAGGGCTGCTGGAGGATTCAAGCTTTACGAGGCTCCCAAGAAAAAGAAAGACCCATTCTGGATCGCAAAGTCGCATATGATGCAAGTGCCGTATAAAACGAGTTGCTGTACTCTAGTCTAGGTTGCCGTAGAACACCAGGATCATATCAAGCATGTTATAGGACATTTCTCCATTCTGAAGTCAACACTGACCAGTTATAGCACTGCTTACCATTGCTTGTCTGATCTTTGTCGTCAATTGCCGAAATTGAATGAATTTTGAGGAAAAATCGCCAAAAGTCGCATATCTAAATATGGTGTTATGAGTCTCGTACAATGAAATCCTACAAAATTTCTTTGGATTCACAGTGCATATGTCCATACCCAACATCTCCAACCAATTTTGGACCATAATATGCATTTTCAAAAATTGCCATTTTTGGCCCAGTGGGAGGTGATTTTCCGGTCAGGGCTGAAAGGGTTAAGGGGACAGCCTACCCATAAATTTCATATGGCATTCAATTGCCCGTAACTTTTGTGTTTCTCAATGGATTTTAGTGAAAGTTTGACCACAAACCGGCTCGTGCCACTATGCTGGCCCTCTGGACATGATTTACAAGTTCTTGCGCCTCACTGACAGGCTTTCCAGGCCGGAAAAACTCAAAATCCCGGCATAGTGCCACGGTGTACATGTGTGCGAGCCACACAGGAGCCAAAGAAATGTATTTACAATTTTTTTCACATTTTCGTGCCCATTCTGTCTGTGCGCGGGATCCAAACCTAAAACAAGTCCAGAAGCAGCCATGGGTGGTGGGGTAGGGCCCCTCAATGTGGCCCTGCAATCTGTCACAACGGAACTTGTGGGTGGGCGTTCTCTCACAGACTCCCACAGACCAAAGTCAATTTTTGATTTTTTTAGGTTTAGGGTGTGCTACGAGGTCGTACCTTTGATACAACATCCAGTGCTGGGACCTCCACAGCAAGCCATTTCCACAGCGCTGCACACCAAATCCAGGAGACCCTCAAAAATCGGCAAAGACTGCCACTCACATTCCACTACTGCCTAGTACTGAATCCTACCTGGCTTCTTGACATGACTCAAACTTGCCGAAGTTACTAAATCAACGTCAACTACAATAATCAAGCCACATATCTGCAACGTCACGAGGGCGTCATGTGGGGGCAAAAGTCGTGCAGCCTAATTTGTGTTTTTTTAACGTGATTTTTGGACTTTTTTGGACTTGGAGCAAAATTCTGCACACTTTCGCGTGTTTCCATGATACGACAAGTTGCGCACGGTCTGCTTAGATTCAAATACAGTGCTGCCAACAAATAACAGCGTGCAACAAAATCTTTCCTTGCAAGGGCACATTTTCGGCCATAACTCTTGAACGGCTGGTAAGATCGGGACACAATTTTCAGAGAATTTGCAGCTATTCATGCTCTTTTAACTGACGTAGCACTCAATATGAATTTGCAAATTCGATTTTTCAGCGAATTTTTGGGTAGTCTGCCACCTTAATCTAGTTTTGTTTGTTTCTTATCTTTCCTTTCTTGCTCTTCTTTTTTTTCCTCTCTCTCTCTCTCTCTCTTACCAGTTTTCCCATCTCACACATCTGACCTATCAAGGGAAAACAGGAAACCCCCTCGACAGGCGAACAGCCTTTGGGGAATCGAGAGAAGCGTTTGATGTCCAAGATTGATCTGCTCACCCGGAAAGTTGAAGATCTGTCTCTGAAAGCTGCTGGATCATCGGCATTTGATCACGGTGATGGAATTTCCGAAAAAGTCGACCAAAAAACAACGAACAAGAAAGGCCAAAAAATAGAAAAAACCGACCTGGTGGCGCTGCCACATCAACGAGTACAAATACGGGTACTCCAGGCATCGACCACCGTACGACCTTCGAGACCTCCGTAGCTGTTGGCAGTTTTAGTTCCTCTCCTGAGAGCACAATCATATCGCAGCTTGGAAATTCGAAAAATGCTTCCATCCCAGCGCAGAGTGATTTGCTTTCTAATTTCGAAGACGACGAAAAAGACAGTGGAGTATGGGAACTTGTTTGTGAACGAAAGCCTGCCGGAAGGAAGTGTGTGATATTCGTTGGCAATCTTCCCTGCAGTGCAGTACCTGGGAAGATTGCTGAGTTTGTGACCATCAGAGCAAGTGAAGCCAAAGTGAACGTCAAGATCTACGAATGCAAAATTTTCAAAAAGGAAAGATCCTCCTCGGCCCGCCTTGTTCTGGATGCTAAGAGTGCAGGACTAGTAAATTCGAGAGAGCTCTGGCCTAGACCTCTGTACTCACGTCTATGGAATTTCGACAAGTATGATTCTACTTCTCCACCATCCCGATCACCTGCAGGTGATGATGAGGCAATGGATCTCTTAAGTGGCCTACCAAATATCCGTACTGAGACACGCCCAGCTGATGAATCGTCTGGTGCCATCAAGGGATCATCTATCAACTCGGAATGACCAGCACGAGCACGACCAACACGCTCCGACTGTACCTAACGAACACCTTTGGCATAGCCTCCAAATTTGGTGACTTCCGCCATGCTCTCGCACTCCACTCTCCCGACATCGCTATCGTTACCGAAACCAAGCTCACGGTGGAAAAAATGTCACAAGCCGAGACTGCCTTCCCTGGCTATGGCCCTCCAATGCAGTTGGATAGGATGGCTCAAGGAGGTGGTGTCGCTGTCTGGGTGCGCAACGACCTAGCGGCTATTGAGCTTGACATGGTTCCCCGTGACGCCAAGAAGATCATACTTATGGTTCACCGTCCGTCGGCGATGTGGTCGAACAGCTGTTGTTGCTGCCCTGTACAGGCCTGGTAGTGCTCCGGAGGGTGACACCAGCCTCATGGAGTACATTGATCACACTCTTGATGCTGTCCGATGTCATGGTACCCAGTTAATCCTTGCTGGAGACTTCAACGTCCACAACACCGACTGGCTTCATAGGACAAAGACAACACCTGCTGGCGAAGCAATGGAGGCGCTCAGTGCTGCTCATCACCTCACCCAACACGTGCTTGAGCCAACCAGGGGCAATAACACCCTGGACCTGGTCCTTTCCGACTTTGACACCCCGGTCATGTCTACTGTGCACCCACCTCTCGGCCGATCTGACCATGCCAGTGTGATTTCCGACTTCCTGCATGCTTCACCACACCGGGAGCCTCCAACCTCGAGGTGCGTGTGGCACTATAATTTGGCTGACTGGCCACGTTTAAAGCACTTCTTCCGGCAAACAGACTGGTCCTCTATCATCACTGACAACATTGACCTGTCATGCGAGCGGCTGACTGGCAAGATCTCCGAGGGCATGACAACGTTCATCCCGTCCAAGAGCCTCAAGCTGCACAGTACCGACTCAGTGACCCAGTGTGGTGGACACCAGAGTGCACCGAAGCCACCAAGAGGAAGCGAAATGCATGGAAGCGACTCCGTCTGCATCCAGCAGATGCACAACTCCAACTGGCTTATACCCAAGCCACAGCCACTACCTCGGCATGCCTTAAGAGAGCTGAAAATACCCATACAGCAGCCATCTGTCGAAGGCTAGCAGCAGGTGGTTTATCCAGTCGTGAATGGTGGTCCACTGTCAAGTGTGCCGGTGGGTGTGGGCGTAGCCATGACATCCCTACCCTCAAGGAGGAAAACGGCGTGGAGCTCACCACCGGTAAGGACAAAGCAGAGAGCTTTGCCCGCTACTTTTCAGCGAAATGCAGCCTTGGTGATAACCTTGATGCCAGCAACCTCCCGTATGTCCGCCCGAGATCTGATGCTTGTCTGAGTACCATCCACTTTAGGTTTCTCTCTCTCTTCTCTCTCTCTCTCTCTCTCTCTCTCTCTCTCTCTCTCTCTCTCTCTCTCTCTCTCTCTCTCTCTCTCTCTCTCTCTCTCTCTCTCTCTCTCTCTCTCTCTCTCTCTCTCTCTCTCGGGGACGCGCGCATGAGGGCGCTGTACACTCTGCGTCGGAGTAAGGATGCGAAGCTGACAAAGCGTTATTCGGCAACAATAGAGCTGGAGTGTTCAGAGGCATCAGTAGGTTTAGGGACTCTCCGTCCACCGTCATCGTCAAGTCATCGTGCAGGGTTGGGTGCTCGTGCTCCGAAGCAGCATTCCAAACCCCCGAGGAAGGATCTCCATGAAACATTTGAGGAGATCAACGCACAGGAGCAGATTTTGAGGCTGAAGACTCTTCAGGTGCCCAAGTCAAATAATAAAATACAACAATACAACAGGTGCAAGGCAAGTGGTTGGAGTGGACATCGGTGAAGTGGCAGGACCTTTCGTGGAAATCCCTTTTGCATGGTGGTACTGGCAAAGGATTTGAAATTTCTTCTCGCGTCAACCCTCGACGTGCTACCTTCTCCGACGAACCTACGCCGTTGGGAAAACACGGTAGTGGATCCGTACTGTAGTTTGTGCCGTGCCTGGGCCTGTACTACGCGCCACGTGCTTGGCGCTTGTCGCTTAGCGCTGGACCAGGGACGTTACACCTGGAGGCACGACAACGTACTCGGGGTCATTGTCAGGAACATGCGTGAGGAGATTCGAATCCGCGCTGCTGCAAACACCGTACAAACCGAAAATTCAAATGAGCTTGACTTCATCTCGTTGTGCAAGGCAGGAAAGAAGCCAGTTCGCGTTCAGCCCAGACGAAAGTTGGTTACGACTGATCTCCTGTCAGCGGCCTCAGACTGGAAACTTCTTGTCGACTCAGTTGATGCAAAGAATTCTTTCCCTAGCTGTGTTGCACTTACCACCCTAAGACCAGATATAGTTCTGTACTCTACGAGTCGTAGGATTGTATTCTGGATGGAGTTGACAGTTTGTGCTGAGGACAGATTCAGTGTCAGTAACTCGCGGAAGGACAGGCGGTATGCGGATCTGGCCGATCAATGCCGAGCAAACGGGTGGCAGGTCGTTTCTTTTTCGGTTGAGGTAGGTGTGTGTGGTTTCATCCCGGACTCTCTTCAGAGGGCTCTGAAAGCGCTTGGGTTTTCTAATCGAAGAATAAAATTTATTTGTAATTTGTGCAGTAAGACGTCTCTGCGAAGCAGCTACATCATCTGGTTGCGACGTCAACAAAAACTCTGGTCGGAAGATCCACTTTTCTAAGGTACTGTATGTGGGGCTCCGTTTATTGAGGTGCGTTGAAATTGATTCTCTTTATCTTATTATCTCTTTTCTATAATTTCCCCATATGAGTTCCTATCAGTTGCTGTGAACACCTTGAGTGGAGAGCGCTGGCTCGAGCGTTGATCCCGGGTTCTTAATCTACCATACCCAGTTCGCAAGGCTGGGCGGGGTTGTGAGCAGGCTTTCATTTCATCTTTTCTTATTATTTCTGCTTTTCATCTCATTACAAAAGTTCTGCGCTCTCTCTCTGACCCAAGGTCGGCAGAGCATCCCAGACCACGCCACCACTCCCCTTATTCATGGCTCACACATGACGGGTTTACGTGGCTCTAGTAAAAAAATTATAATAGTAAGGCCCGCAGCAACCATGCGATAACAAATTTATCACATGGCCCACAGAGCAGACCATTGGGCTGCTGTTGAAACTAGCCCAAATTCCAACACATTATGACCACAATGTATATTGATGTGCTATCATTATCAAAACAGGAAAAATGAAGATATTTCCCCTACACCCTAACAAAAACTCTCCTACAGGCCACCAGAGAGTATACAGTACTGAAAGACGGAGAAAGAAAAAAAGGGCCGGCACAGCATCGTCATAGCAATAGACATGCCAACCACAATAAAACACAGCAGAATCATAATTTCAGTTGAAAAATTAAGAGTGCTACCACGAAGAGTTTCTTCATGTTTACATGTGTATGAGGAAGTTGTCAAATTCAGTACTGCAAGTATTTGACGACTGGTGTATAATTCTGAGGACAATTTCTCTTCTTTTTTCAGCTCCAGATAGTTGTACTTTTTATTGCAAAGCATTCCTGAATTGTTGTGTTTGTTGTTCAAGCAAAGGTGAAGGCAGAAGACAGATGAGCCTGGTAAGAGTTTTGCGTGGCACAGGAAGACTACACACAGGCAGTGACTTTGCGAGGATCTGAAAACGCACGATGCTGAAATGAATTTGTGTTTTTTCTAACAATTGTTTGTGATTTTTTCACTGTACACAAACACAGAAACAGACGTGAACTCATCCCTTTTGTGAAACAAGTTGTGAAACGAAGTACACTCTCAACTTAGCCGACCCATCACAGTACCACATTGAGCAGAACTGAATCTTATCCACAAGCTTACCGACGGTCAGGCTGCCAACATGACTGAACAAATGAAGGATTATGATCCCTGCAAGCACCACACGGCAGACGTCCGAGGACATGTCCATTGCCGGGACGTCCATCTCGAAAAAGAATTCCATCTTCGTCTCAATGCTACACTGCGACTCGTCTTAGAGTCGTACAGTCTACAGAGTCATCGTAGTCACGCGATCACTGAAATAAATTATTTTTTTGCGGGCAAATAAACTATTTTTTTGCGGGCAATATCGCATTTTATTGCCCGCGGCGCGGAAGGTGCTGATTTTCTGGAGTATGGGCAACAATCACATGCCATGTGATAATGATAATACAGGGCGCTGTCTCCCAAATAATGGGTTCCACGCATCTGTCTACATAGAGATCTCCAAACTATAGAATCAACATGAAACCTGAGAGTGATGATTGCTCCATTTCTGATCCTTTGCTTTGTTTGTTTGTATATCTTGCTATGTGCACAGACAAAAAGAGAATTTTTCCATGCCAATTTAATAGGCCGGGCAACACCACATGCGCTTCCACGGAGGTCTGTCTAGGAAATTTCACCCATTATTCGTGCATCAACCCGAGTAAGTTTAAACACAAGTTTGAAATTAACCAAGATGCTATGTTTCTGCAGTTGCTAACTGTTTCACGGGGATTGGGCCAATCACCATAATCGGTAGGAATCTATTGACGGGTGCCCAAGATCCTGAACTCCTGCGTGTGAACATGACAACTGCTCGAAGCATGTACATTACTTGCACCACTTGCTATTGTTCGCTCATGGGTTGTTGCTGTGCTGGCGGTAAGAGTAGCTTTAAAACCGCCATTGCTTCAGGAGCTGCATCTGTGCTTGATCCATAGAGGATGGTGGCGTTCCTACGGACGCGGGGAAACTCGGCGAACCATGAATTAAAACGAATGCCGTTGGTGTGTTTCCGATGAGATCCCATTGTCTCCTGCGAATCATAGCTAAGCTAGTTGAAGACCGAGAGAAAATATGTGCCAGTGAACTGCAACAAGTGCTAGGACAGGGCAACTTAGATAGAATTACCCTGATAATGGGCCAGGGCCAAACATTTGGTGTAATGTATTAAAAAAAATTGAATCGCAGTGAAGAGACCGTTTTTGGAGCTTGGAGATGAGAAGTGAAGCTTCCTAAATGTGTAAGTGGCTGCGTCGGAGTTTGCGGGACAATTAGAAAAACTTAGAGAGACATGAGAAAACCCGCCCTGCAGGCTCGTTTGCTTGCATCACTTGGCTTGATGCACCAGAGATTTTTTTTTTTTTTGAGTCTTCTAACTCCCAGCTCTTTCTTTTCTTCTGTCGTTTCCTCTGCAGTCACTTTGTACGATGGTAAATTTTGCCCGGCGCTACCACAAGTTCACTATGGCCAGTTCGCAGCACCGCAGCACAGCAACGTGTCTGTACATCAGCAGGCCCGTGTGGTGTGCAAACTGGGATATAGTCCAAGCGACAAGATCTCGACATGTTTGATGGACGTCACGGGAAACGCCATCTCCTACCGCTGGTATCCAGTTCCGACATGCCGTCGTGAGTGCATGGAACCTACACGGCATTGTATGCATTGGGGGACCTACACGGCATTGTATGCATTGGGGTGAAGCGACCGTCCCAAGTGTCTTGTCGACTAAGTTGAATCCAAATGATTGGCTGCCGACTGGTGCCCAAGCGCATAAAAACCTACACCGGGTACTCTGTTCAAAGAGATGCACATTCATTTCCATGTTCACCAAACCACAACTAAGGGGCACATAACAATAATACATTGAAGGTTTTATTAAAACGTCAACTGGACCCAAGGCGCATGCATGGTTTTCTATGGTCGTTCTGCTTGACGGTGTGTAATTTTGAAGTATATGTGTGTGTGTGTGTGTGTCAATGGACAAGGGCAGTCCGCTAGCGGGTTCAACTCGCAGGACGAGCACGTGAACTATAATGCATGTACTAGTGTACTCATGTGCTCAATGGAATACAGGAGATAGTCGATACAGAATTTGACTAAAAAGCCATTTGATTAACACTTGCAGGTGCCAAGTGCAAATGTCAGTTACACCAACCTCCCCAGTCATGTTCTATGGGTGGTAGCCGGTCACACATCAGCCATGTATCAACTTTGAGTGAACTGTCAGCGGGAAAGCACAAACTCCCACACAGGGAGCTACCTGTGCACATTCTCCACCACAGAGCGGTGTTCTCGTTTACGTCAGTGACCAAATCTTTTTCTTTCTTTCGTATCTGGCTTGCAAGTGTTGAGTTTCGGAAAGAAAAGAGCAGTACGAGGCACGTGACCTCTAATTTCCTAATACTTTGAAATTCTCCGTGAAGTCCAAATTTGAAATGACCAAATCTTTCGTTGAAAGAAATCATTGCATGCGGGCAGTGAAACCAACATGGTCGCCATCACGTGACCCAGAGTTTCAGGGGTTAAGAGTTGGAACCAGCATGACTGCTCTATATGGCCCGATATCTGAGACTTTCGACCTTCGGGGCTACGCGTTTTTTTTTTTGAGAAAACACTAAAAACAAATTTGTTCGCAAAAAAATCGATTCCGTCAAAGCAAAGTGCAGAGACGACAATGGCGGAATAAAATTGAAGGCGATTCTTGTGTCAGTTGGTTATTGGGCTCACGGAGCACAGCAGCCGCGATCCCATGGACGGTGATGCATCGTTCTTTGTGCCGGGATATCCTGTCAAGCGGCGACAGCGCTTCTAGTTCTGAGAGCGCATGTCAGGCGAATCGATCGCAAGTGACACGCGACCTGTCGGGGGCGACGATGATGAGGACTTGGCCTGGATGAGTATGATCAAGGCCAACCACAGTCTGCCTCAGCGATAGCTGCTACAGCTCCAGGCAAGGACAACCAGGTGGATTCCTGAGGGTACGCCACTTGCAAGGTCGCTGGGCGCCCTTGCGCGAGTGGCAGGACTGTTTCCTGAGTGTCACGCCAGACCTGCTAAAACAGCACGAAATGATGCGAGTTTTCTGTGCGACTATGATCCTAAAATGTTTGGGATGGCAAGCTCGATACTCGAGCTAATAATGGCGAATCAGACCATCACGGAGCACATGAGGCTGGGCAATCTCGAGTAACATTCTGTTACTTTTGAGTTGGTGGTGTGAAACGCTTGTCAGGCTGGTTTACTGATGTTTGGAAATGGTCAGTCTCCACAAAGTGCAACAAGGCGAATCTGGACGCATTTGCTCTGTTTGACTCCTTCACAATAAGTATGTGAATGCTGTCACATGTATCATGGTGTTCCGTCAAAATCTGTTGCAGACTATCCTGTCAAGCATGTCCATCACCAGGAGAACAGATAAATCACCTCTCCTTCTAATGCTGCTATTGCTGCTGTTGCAACTACGCAACCTCAATAAAGTCACGGAATGTTGGAAATGAAGTACCTGAACAGTCAAAACACTTTACTATATTAGTTGGCTAGTGATATCACATGGAAACAATTTTTGGTGGCTCCAAACACACTGATCTTTCAAAATTGTAAAAAAAGAACAATTCATTAACATGACTCCTGACTGTAGAATGCATTTCTACATGGTCAATATTGGTCTGATGGCCGTGAAACGAAGTCACAATACTCTACAAAGGCAAGACATCAGTTTGCAATAAAAAAATCAATTTCACCAAAACAGCCCCGAAGGTCGATTTTCTCAGATATTGGGCCATATGTTCTCCGCTGCCCAAGTCGCTGCCACAATTTCATACTCAAAAGTCCAAAGTTTCATGTGAGAGTGAAATCCTCCGGACATCAATGTACGCCGTTCATCTGCTTGTACTCTGCCCTTGTGCACAGAGAATCTGAAATACTGCAAGCCCTTGAGCCCGCTCACGCACGGCAAATTGATTTACAACCACCAGCGCCGGAACACGCTGGGTTCGCCTGGACAATTTGAGTGCGACTACGGCTATGGAGGCTCACACCGGGGCAAACATGGACTTCACTTTGTTTACACCTGGACGTCTATATGCCAATATAAAACCGCCGCCGAGGGCTATTGGTTGGGCGCAGACAGGTTTTGTCAGCGTAAGTCAATTTTCTCCCGAAATGTGTTGCTAGTATTGCTTTGGCTAGCGACACCAGAATTGATCCTGGATGTCAACAGGCTATGGATCGTATGCACATCCAAGATACGATCTACGTCCTGTGATACAGTGGTGTTTGCTGCGTGTGGAAGCTTCAGTCCATAGACCGTATTGTAGGCATGTTGAGCTAAGGTAGCGCTGTGTGTATCAAGTCCATGCACAGTTTACCATGTATGATGACTGGAATATGACAGGCATTGAGTAAAATAAAGATCGGAATGAACATTTTGTATTTGTATTTTATCATTATTAAAGGATTTCCCAAAGGCTTTGGGCCTGTCGAGGGGATCTCCTGCAAGAAGAATGAAATGACAACTTTATGTAGAGGGAGCAGTTAATTGAGGATAGGCTAAGGAAATAGATCGAGGCATACAAAATCTGGTAATCAAGGAGTTGGGATACCGTCAGTGTAATGAATATATCGGCGAAAATGCTGATAGAGAGAATGTACAATTTGTTAACATTTCCAGAGAGTTACGAGTCGACCCTCTAAGTAGAGTCCAGACAACATGTGCGTCGAAAGGTATTTTGAGTAGTTCGGTCTCGTTGACTCTGTGACATGAGCTGTGACCGCATGTGGACTGGCGCGGTGGTGTGTGAGATTCAATTTCTTTCCTTCTTAGCGGACTGGAAAGTGCTAAGCGTTGCAGAGGACAGACAGCCACGTAGCCCGCATGGGGCACAGGGGCACGTCCCCCCCCCCCCCCCCCCCAATTTCGCCATAGGTTCAGCATGCACATAATTGCAGGCATGCAAGAAACCAGACTAAGCACAGGGAAAGAATAGACAACCAGCCATTGTGTCTCTCAGATTCTTCATCTGTAAAACCAGCTCAACAGCAGCATAAGGCCAAGAGCATTATGCAAGGCACTGTTACCATGACTGTGCACATCAGTACTACAGCCGTGATGTACAATGCATGACTACCACAATAATTACTATGAATGACATGCACCTGCAATCCTACACATATACACCCATGCACTCCCCCCCCCCCCCCGCCCCAAAGGGGGACCAGCTATGCCCCTGAGGGAGTAGGTAGGTGGCTGAACTACGTAATAGAAGAGAAAAACGGCCTGAAAATGAGGTTTTCGCTGGCCTGAAACCTATTTCAGTGTGTAGGCTAGAAGACAATGATGAGGCAACTTTTCCAGCTTTCCAATCTTAGTTTGTGCATAATCGTCTGTGTGTGTATGTATGTGTGTGTATGTGTGTGTGTGTGTGTTTGTGTGTGTGTGTGTGTGTGTGTGTGTGTGTGTGTGTGTGTGTGTGTGTGTGTGTGTGTGCATGTGTGCTTATGCGTGCGCAATATGTGGACATTTCTGCTTCGGCGCGCTTCCGCTAACAGCCGTACCGACGTATTGCCCGTTGCCGTCAGCTGTGAATGTGACACACGGGCACCTGCGTGGAGACCTGCAGACCATTGGCAGCAAGGCGGAAGTGAGGTGCAACAACGGAACCACCCGGGTCGGTCCCCAGCACCCTACCTGCATCGTGAACCTAGATCAGCCCAGGAGTGGCATGTGGTACCCAATGTCATACTGTAGGGGTAAGGACAGGCTTGCTTGCTTGTATTGCTGAAGGAACATATGCTGGTTTGTATTCGTGGGTCCCCATGGTGCATGGGCTACGCGTCCTCATCCGGCGGATATGTGTGAATAATAATAATAATAATAAGTACAGGCGGCGCCTGATATTACAAACACCATTGTGCAGGAGAATTAGTTCTTTATAGCATGTGGCCGATTGGTTTGCAGGCCTGCCTGCGAATCATGAGGTCCCGAGTTCGAGACGCGCGCTGGTAGCAGAGAGCGTGTAAAAAGACTTTTACGTGTGTTGAACTGCGCCGACACCCACAGTCAACTGGGTACTCACAGCTCGGAGTGAGGATAACAAGGATGCAGTTTACAGGGTTATGGGCCGTTACACGCCCGATTGGTTGAGAGACTCACCTCCTCTCCCCTGACTCATTTGTGAGGTCTGCATTCGCCACTAAGGTGAAAAGGCATAGTGGTGGCCTGTGGAAGCGAAGGCTATACCTTGTGTGTTTCTGAACATTCAAGTGATGCTAACGCGGATCCCGCGAATATTATTATTATTTAGCCAAAATTCATTATAACCGAAATGCACTTGCACTAACTAAAAAAGTAGCATGTCATGATTGGCATGTGGCCCATGACAGAATGATTGCACTTGGTTTACATGCGGCGCTACAAGATATGGTTCGCTATCAACGAAAACTGTTCTCTATTGAGGGTCAATTTTGTACGGGCTCAAGCAGGGACATGGACACTGGTGCGCTATATCACGAAATTTGCTATGCGACTTCGTTAGAAGTTGAGTCGACTGCACTTATAACACAAGGCACATTGTGTTGTGGACAGTGCTCCGTTGTGTTGTGGACAGTGCTCCGGCCCAAATATCGGTTTTCGGGCGTTACCCACCCCCTAGAATACAGAGGGTCCGAACCTGGGCTCGACCCTACACGGTTCAGATGGTTGCAAGCCCGGGACGCTGACAGCCGATTTATGGTCGCAGTCGGGAGCAATTTTTTGGACACTGTAGTGTTATCTTGTATGTGTGTGTGTACCCATTGTGCATGCTTGTTCTCTTATTTGTACTCTTCTCTTTATAGATCTAGACTATCCGTTACGGTATCCCTTTCATGATTCATCCCATATCTAGATGTCTCATGCACCGTAGCGTACCCTCAAGTACTCTACTAGATCCCGATATGGAGTAACCCCATCTGTCACGTTCTGTATTATGTTTCTTTCACGACTATTTGTGTTCTTGCACTGATAATGAAAAGGGTTCTTTGCCTCACAACGAGACGGACTACACATGCACCGAATTTCCCTGAGTATAAGCCGCTTATTTTTTTGCCACGAACTACACACATCTTCACTGTTTTTCTGTTACGAAAAACTTACATCTACCCTGTCTATCACCATTAATTTGACCACCGTAGCATAAGGGACCATCGCAAAAGTTTGCAGAAGCCCCCGAAACGAAGACCGTTAGTTTCGGGCCTGACCCCCCTCCCTCCCCCCTCAAACGAAACGACAGTCACAATATGGGCTTCATTATTTCACTTGGATGCTCACACATAATAATTATTATAATATACTACACAAGCATTGTTGTATCAGTGTGTAACAATCTGTCCCCGGGGAAAATTGCGGAAAAAATCGCAAAAAACGCGGGGAAAAACGCGGCAAAATATGGCATAATTTGCGGTTAATTTGCGGTAAATATGCGGTGAATAATATTGATGTGCGGCAATTTTCAGTGAGTATGTAGTGAAATCAATCAGTTACAAGTCTTTGGTGTAAGCACTCGTCATATTTGAGTAAAAAGCAACACGATGAGACGTTGCTGACCGAACAGTGCACTGTGTGTACGTGTAGTGCAACAAAAAAGTTCAAAAAACGCGGGACAAACGCGGAAAACGCGGTCTTTTAAAAAATCGCAAAAACGCGGAAAAAAACGCGGCCGCGGAATCGCAATTTTCCCCGGGGACAGAACAATGTACAGCACTTTATAAATGCAACGATGATATCACCTTGCAGTGGGTGATCTAAGAACGAGAACAGCTAGAGCTATGCAGTTGTATCCTTTGAGCATGCTAATCTATATCAGCTCCTACATGTCGTCAATACTTTTTTGAATTGAAGCCCGGTTTGCGATTTTCGACACCGACTCCCTCCCCCCCAAACGTATGCTCTTCGTTTCAGGGGCTTCTGCGAACTTTTGCGATGGTCCCTAAGCTGCACCGAGATTTTCTTGTGCGAGCTACTGGTGTTTGAAGTGCCGTATTTACTCCGGAAAATACAATAAGTATTCGTATTGCATGAGCAGTCAGCGAAAATCTGCGAATGACAACATCCTAAACTGGCACCCTAGCTCTTTTTTTGGCCTTGCATGTTTAAGTGGTAAATATTGTGAATTGTTCTTTTGGTCATGCTCCAGCCAATCGTACACTCTGCCCGGACTATCATCCCATCGAACATGGTGGATTTAGTTACGACGCGATACGGCCGAATTTTGTCAACGTTTGGTGTGACATTGGCTATGCTCTGAACAGACGGGATATAAGTTATTGCATGCCAGACGGGAACTGGTCACATCACCAGAACTGCTCAGGTGAGTGAGAAATGGGTGACGTGTATCGGTGAACGCTGTCATGAGCGTGTGTGCATTTCTGTGTGTGTGTGTGTGTGATGTGTGTGTGTGTGTGTGTGTGTGTGTGTGTGTGTGTGTGTTACTGTGTGCGTGTATGTGTGTGTGTGTATGTGTGTGTGTATGTGTGTGTGTGTGTATGTGTTTGTGTGCGTATGTGTGTGTGTATGTGTGTGTGTGTGTATGTGTTTGTGTGCGTGTGTGTGTGTGAGCTTGTGTGTGTGTGTGCGCGTATGTGTGTGTGTGTGTGTGTGTGTGTGTGTGTGTGTGTGTGCGTGCGTGCGTGCGCGTGCATATGTGTGAGTGTGTGTGCATGGGTGAGTGCGTGCATGCGTGTACGTCAGCTAAACATGGCGGCATATCAAACCGCCCATGCACATCGACTCTACTTTCAAGAATTTAGTTTTCCTTGCTGGTTTCCTGTTTTTTCTCACAATCTAGCTCTCTGGCAGATTTTTTAGACTCCCTCACTTCCTTTCACATATGCAGGTGCCTATCCCCGTATAGGCAACGGGGGTACGTGCAGCCCCTAAAAATTTCCACCGAGGTTCAGCATACACGTAATGACCATGAATGACCTGCACCAGCCATCCTACACAGATGTGGCCGAGCACGCCCCTAACCCCCCCCCCCCCATAACCCCCCTAAAAGGGTATCAGCTATGCCCCTTCTTATGTTTTTTCCTTCTTTTTCTACAGTCATAGATTTCTACTGCCCAGCACTTTCACCTGTGAAGAATGGAGTGTTAACCTATGAAGATAATGGAACTATTTGGAGCAGAGCTTTTCTGACTTGCAATTATGGATATCGCTCCATATACAATAGAGTCCTTACATGTCAGCAAGGAGCTCAAAACTCCAGTGGTGGACAGTGGAGTGAGCGTACGAACTGCACAGGTAGAATATGTGTGCTTGTGTGTGTGTGTGTGTGTGTGTGTGTGTGTGTGCTCGTGTGTGTGTGTGCATGCGTGCATGTCCACGTGTGTGTGTATGTGTGTGCATGTGCGTATATATATATGTGTGTGTGTGTGTGTGTGTGTGTGTGTGTGTGTGTGTGTGTGTGTGTGTGTGTGTGTGTGTGTGTGTGTGTGTGTGTGTGTGTGTGTGTGTGTGTGTGTGTGTGTGTGTGTGTGTGTGTGTGTGTGTGTGTGTGTGTGTGTGTGTGTGTGTGTGTGTGTGTGTGTGTGTGTGTGTGTGTGTGTGTGTGTGTGTGTGTGTGTGTGTGTGTGTGTGTGTGTGTGTGTGTGTGTGTGTGTGTGTGTGTGTGTGTGTGTGTGTGTGTGTGTGTGTGTGTGTGTGTGTGTGTGTGTGTGTGTGTGTGTGTGTGTGTGTGTGTGTGTGTGTGTGTGTGTGTGTGTGTGTGTGTGTGTGTGTGTGTGTGTGTGTGTGTGTGTGTGTGTGTGTGTGTGTGTGTGTGTGTGTGTGTGTGTGTGTGTGTGTGTGTGTGTGTGTGTGTGTGTGTGTGTGTGTGTGTGTGTGTGTGTGTGTGTGTGTGTGTGTGTGTGTGTGTGTGTGTGTGTGTGTGTGTGTGTGTGTGTGTGTGTGTGTGTGTGTGTGTGTGTGTGTGTGTGTGTGTGTGTGTGTGTGTGTGTGTGTGTGTGTGTGTGTGTGTGTGTGTGTGTGTGTGTGTGTGTGTGTGTGTGTGTGTGTGTGTGTGTGTGTGTGTGTGTGTGTGTGTGTGTGTGTGTG